TAACGGGTAACCGGGGCTCCGACTCGACGTGCAGGAGAAGGAACGGGGTGGTTTTTAGTCAGTAAGAGTCTGACACTCCCTCCCGCCTCACCCAGGTGGGAGCAGTCATTCGATTATTTCCCCCACTTAAAAAAAAATGTATATTATACAAGTGTAACAGAATTAATGCATAAAAATTGAATTACTTTTTCGTTTTTTACAAGTGCTGAAACTAGAATTGATAATTTTGTGTAACATCTTGTGTATTGAATTACACTCATAAGTGGCAAAAAGTGTTTGTTACATATGTACTTCTATCTACCCCTTCGAGGAATATAAGGCGTGATGTTATACTACTATTATTATATTTGTGGTAAACTATAATAGTGTTATCACTAACACATTATAAGTTGTAACATGATGTAATAAAGTAGTATTGCGCACGCGCAGGTGAAGTGTTAATTCGCCAATGTCTATTAAAATCGTGTAAATTCATGTTCATTGTTCATAATCACAGCTATTTAATATGCTTGCGTTCATTGTAGTTTACTGTGTACTAGTTTCCAACTTTATTGTTTAGGCATTAAGGTTGGGAATTGGTCAACTGTAGGAAGAGTGTGTTAGAAAACTTTGCTTGTGTTCGCTTTGGAATCTAGTGCATAGTTCTAATTTTATTTTAATTAAAAAAAGACAAAATTTTCTTGTAATATTGGCTTTCTAACTACGATTATTGAATGAAATATTCCGTGGTGCTAATATAATAAAAATATTTAAACCCATAATATTCCCAGAGTCATTATTTTTCTACTGTATAAAAGAGCAATATTTTGAACATTATTCAATGATCGTAGTGTGTACTTTCGTGTAGACACCAGCTCATCAAGTTACCCTCAAAATCTCCGATTTTTATAACTGAATTTCAACTTTATTTACAAAGTACTAAGGATGAAAATCTAAGAACGACTGGGTTAACTTGACGTGCTGGTCTGCTTTATATGTAGATATTTCGTCATAGTCTTGTAATGTCTAGTCTGGACAGTATTTTTATAATGTAATGTATGTAGGTACATTGTCAATATTATTATTATTATATGCTTGTACCGAATTCGATGTAATTATTGTTAATATTATTAATAAAATAATGTAAAATATATTTTGTTTTGCTAAAATATTCTAAGAAGGAAGCTTTATATGCTTCACTTGAAGACAATACTTATCTTTTAAATTCCTTAATTCATTGTTTTTTGTTTTGACTCGACGCCTTTGTGCCGGCCCAATTGCGCATTGCTTTTGATAATAAGTAAAAAAAGTATTATTCACATAAATTAATAAAAGCTATACTCATAAACACATCATTGCATTGAAATTAGCATTTTATTGCTGAGAAGTTAAAGTTGAAAATAGCTCTGACATAAAAATTAATTGAATTCTAATTTATATAAATTGCCATTTATTCGGAAATCAATTGTACAACTACCCAGCACACTTAGTTATCCCTATCTGTCTATTTCCTTCAATAGATTTTTAACCCTATGCCTGTGTAATAGAGTTGAGAATGTATTAAATTGTTTTGGGTAGTTTCAAGTGCTGGTCTTTGTACCGGGAATTACCTACTCATTATCAACAACAGTCTGTAATCTAAATGCCCTTTGAACCATGTGTATTGTTGCCACAATTTGTATTGTTATCAAATAATAATTAAATAGACAATATTGTGGAAGTTGTGCCCATTTATTCATACAAACATACATATGAAGTTATTACATAAAATAATTATTAATTAATAAAGTCAATTGTATAAAATTATCGACGGAATAAATAATTTCATGTCGTTTATTTGTATTTCATTAAGAGACAGAAGTACATCAATAAAAATGTTATGCTTCTAGTAACAAAGGCCTTTATTTTAGTGTTTTTAAAAATCGCACTCATTCTATTACATGCCAGGTTCCCCTGTGAATTTTACTATGAAAAGATATACAGTTAATTTCTTGTTGATGGTACATTTCATCACACCTTTCCTTCTTCAATTTTGGGAGAGCCTCCTTACTCCGGGACGAATGGGCCGGCACGACCAGAGTGATACCACGTCCTCACAGAAACCCGACTTGAAACAACGCTTAGTGCAATGTGTGAGTGAGGTTACTGGAAGCCCAATTACCACCCCCTCCCCAATCCCTGAATCCCCAACAATCGTCAAATTCCTAATCCCCAAAATACCGGCAACGCACTTGTAACGCCTCTGGTGTTCCAGGTGTACATGGACGACGCCGATTTCTTATCATCAGGTGATCAGTCAGCTTGTTTGCCGGCTTATCCCATAAAAAAACTTCATATCCTAATCCATAATATCGGTTTAAACACCTAACCTTTCTATTTGTTACAAAGAATACTCTTATAGAATATCATGTTAGGTCATAAATAAAAAGAAAAAAAGTATATAAAATAAATATCTATATCTCACTATTAAGTTCCATCAATTGGGTACTTGCCAACTAGTCAAATTAAATACTTTTTTTGAACTGTCAACGACAGCTTTCTATGAATTTTGTACGAGATGACATGACGTGACGTCACGTTTTTTTAGCGTCAAACAGTATACTTATTTCTTAAAAAATGGCTGGAAGAATACTCAAATTAAGTTGGCCATAAAATCAATTAATGAAAGTGTGATTATTTTTTAATTTTTAATTGTATTGAACAGTCGAAATATTTGACCAAGGAAAGTAACCAATTATTTACCCCACTCTCTATCCAACATTCTTAAAAAGTAATAAAATTGACATAATTTCTTACCTATCCTATCTATGTTTGTACCTATAAGTACTCTACTCTTATCAGATCGACATAAGTATTATTTGTTGTTCATAGCGAGCTCTGTTTGAGAGATTATAGAGAGAATCAAAGTAGACAGGTCATCCTAGGACAAAAATTTATGAACTATCTTAAATCTCAATTCAAAATGAAGCTCGATTTTTAACAATTGTTGTACGGAGTTTCTATGTCAAAACAGAACCCAGTAATTAAAATTAGTTATTCTTTCGGTCGTTATACGTTATTAAATACATAAAACCTCCATTATGTGACATTTTACAACATTTTAGAACAGTAAAACCGTTCTTTCACGATGAGATTTGCAAGTAAACCTTGAAATATATACCTAGGCTAAGTAACAGCAATTTATCTCCTATCTACAAGCCTTATATACCCGTAGTAGTAAAACAACCACTAAAGCTATTTGTAACATCACTATCCATAGGACTAAAGCTAAATAATCCGCATGTAGGTTCCTAGAGAGACCTAGGAATTCTAGATGTTTGACGGGATTCTTGAACATGCAAAATACTTCATGACAGGGCAGTTTTTCTCTACCCATGCCATACACGGTTTCTAGGAAAGCGTCAAAAGCGTATCGGAAGTAGGAGATTGTGGCGAACGGTCGAAGGTATACCGGCATCTCACGATATGGAATGAAGAACTCTGAGAACATCAGCATTGGAATGTTGGCTGCTGGAATCACAAACAGTCCCAGCTGAAACAAAAAACGAAGATTATGAGGAGTAATAGCAACGATTTGTCGTTTCGCCATATACACTTACTCCTAGGTTAAGTACCTATATAAATATGTTATAACCGTTACCTGCTTCAAATGGTGGAAATGGTTTTGATGTAATAAGTACTGTATAGGTCACGAATAACATTTACGATTACCCGACAGTCACAAAGAAATGCATTATCTACTAATAATAGCTACTCATTATCTCTTTCATTATCTCTTAAGTAATAATACTTAAACTGTTTGTTATAGATACTTATGCAGTTATAGAAACATTTTAATGGCCCTAGGTTACATTAGTTTTACGATCGTGCTTACCTTCATTCCACATGACGCGCCCACAACGAATCCAAAGGTCTGAGCTAGTATAGTGACTAGGGCACACGTGAGCCATGCTAACGCCATGCGTTCAGGTTCCAGAGGTTGTGAAGTCAAATACCAGGCCGGAAATAGGAATACTGTCGCACATAGTAACTGTAACACATGTTATAAAGTTTAGTACAAGTAAAACTTAAATAATAAGGCGTGTGGTGACTGGATGACAAAGTAGACCACTTTTGTCACCGGTCCTTCCATGGGTGTTTTTTTTAAAGGGGCATTATCATCCAATGACTTTTTCCCGTCTGGGGCAGGCGGGAGGGAGTGTCAGACTCTTACTGATTAAAAACAACCACCCGCTCCTTCTACGCTTCGAGCTGGAGCCTCGGTAACCCGTTAGGTTACCCGCGACTCCGAACCGGCATCAGCCTTACTGCCCCTATTGGGCCCCATCCGTGGTGGTCTGATGGCTCTTTGAGGCGTGCGCTGAACGTGACGCGCCGTACGCTCGAGTCTGGTTCTGGCCGGGCGGCGAGTCACCCATGCTCGCCGTCCGCAGGCCCGCGCTTACGGTGAGCCTTAAAGACCTTAAGGTATGCTCTACTTACTTGTATAGGTAAGTCCACAATGATTTTAGAAGCACAGTACGCTGGCAAGGAGTACCACTTATTCAAGTGTTCATGCAGGACGACTTTGGCTTCCACGGGGACTGAAAATGAAAAGATTGCGCATTAAAATATGTTCGATTATTGGCTCGAATAACCTAATTGATTATCAAAAATCGGAAATCGTGTTATGCCCCGTTTATGAAACGGAGGATGTACCTATTCCTGTTTATGATAATAGACTCATCTTCCGTTACATGGGACTTTAAGAAGAATGGCGAAAATCAGATCTATCTATTTCTCGAGGGAATAAAGTCTGTTGCTTATTTACTCTTATTGTAATTATAATCAATAGTAAGTATGTATAATTGTATAGCTACTTACATGTATGAATAGTAGGCATTGCATTCGAGAAGAAGAGGAACAGCAGGAAGAAGAACAGACATCCAGTGTTTGACATCATTCGGCCCGCGTCTGCGCCGGCGCCATGGTATAGCGCACCCAGAAGTAACGCCACGACGAAGTGACATACTAAACGAATCTGTAAATATAATAAAATGTGTATTAATAAGGTACAATGCTTTCAAAACATGCTTAAGTAGTTAACTTTTGCCTATTTGATTTCGAGAAAATAGGGTGCCCTGAGATCTGGTAGGTAGATATTAATGTCTGGATTGCGAAATCTATTCGGGCTTCGTAAGAATGTTCTTACTATTAGGTACCACTACCATTAAGTAATTACTGAGGAGATTTTCAGTAATGGTGTAAAGTCGGTAAACCAGTTAGGTTAAGTCAGTTAGTCGAATTAGGCAATAGGCTCTCTTCCTAGTACAATGAGGTTTACGAGAATCTTACTTTTCTTTCGCTGTTGCTTAATGGTTGTATTAATAATAGGACTATTTTATTCCTCATCGTCTTTTCTAGTACCTGTGTCAAGTAAACATCTCTGACCACTCCTATATAACATCTCCATAGAAGTGCACTCAGCTGCTGACATACGCTGGCGGCGTACCCCTTCGATGGCGTAGGGCTGGGATTGAGGAGTGCTACCGATTCCGGTGATAAATCTAAAAAGAAATCAATAAGTTGCAGGACTTCCATTACAATTTAGGGTGAAACTTGGAACTCCATGCTAAACAGACTAAAAAAAACAAACAAAAAGAAAAATACATTATTTTGTAAGGCTCTAGAAGTAGCCAGATTTTACTTGAGGAACAGAAGCGCTGTAAACATTGTCATGGTTTTCAAAAACCTATTCAAATATACATATATAGTGTTTATTGAATGCTATGATTGTGAGATTTGTTATTTATCATACTGGTACATTGCCTATTTATAAAGGTTTAAAATCACCTGCTACTTTTATCTCTGTACTGCTTAAAGGTTGACTGGGAGACAATGCCCAAGGCATTAAGTCCACCTATACACACTTGTTTACCTGTTCCTTTTCCATTGCAAATTTCACTCTTAGCAATCTTGCTCATCTCGTGAGCGTAGCTGTTGGCTTCGTGTTCCAAGAGATTCATGTCACCAGGGTGCTCGTTGCTTGCTACTTCTAACACTGGAAAAGTCAAAGGAAACTATAGATACGCAATATTCCATTAATTGTTTTAAATTAACAGGCTCAGTTAAGTCAGAGGAACAATAATTGTAGCGTTAACAATGGCCGAAATGTTTAAAATTTTATTCACATCAGAATCTGAATATGTTATTTTACCATATCAAAAATTATATTATTTTATATTTGGCAAGTCATTGTTACATATAAATTCTTACACGAATGTTGTTATGTTAAGCAAGCAAAAATATTTCTATAATCTATTGTTTAATAATGCATATGATATTGTTATTAAGGAACGTGTACTCACAATAATCAGCTATATTATAATACTGTGGACACATAAAGCCGGCTCTAGTCAATGCACTGGGAATGTCAGCGATAGCTCCTGCGTACAACGTCCTGCCATTAGCCAACACTATGACGTCATCAGCAATGTTGAAGAGTTGTGATGAAGGTTGATGGAGAACGCATGCTATGGTTCTTCCACTGCGGGCTACTGTGTGAAGAGCTCGAGCCACGGAAAGGGATGAGACAGCATCTAATCCACTGAAAAGGTCAATAAACTATGTCATTTGATTTACTCTATAGAGAAAAATGTTTCCCTGTAGCTGCTACGACAAACGCGCGTAGGATTATGTCGTAAAGGGTCTACGAAGTTTGCTACGAGATAGCAATTTGCATATTTATGTTTTCTACTAAAGATTACAAGTTGAATTCTGCTTAAGCATGTCATGTACGGTATTTCAAAGTTTTAACAGGTTGAGATTTCTATTGACAATTTCTAAGTATGTAATAAGGTACCTAAATTATTGGTGAATGTTGATGTAGTATCCTTCTTGATATACTTCTAGGTATACTTAAAACTTACCTAGTAGGCTCATCCAGCAGCATGATGGTAGGGTCTGTGAGCAACTCGCAGGCTATAATTAATCTCTTTCGCTCTCCACCTGATAGTCTACCGGCACTGGTGTTGAGCACTTCATGTATACCGAGCTGCTTTGTTACTGTAGTGATCTATAATGAGAGAAAGGATAAAAAGAGTTTGATGAAAGATCATTAAAGTTATATGCAAAGATGAGATTCGTCAGTTATGTTAGTTAACTTCCATGTAAACGAAGAAGCCTACAGCCATTGGCCATAATTCTAGATGGATATAGCATTTTAATAATTTGGCTTAGTCACGAAACTGTTAAGCTTTTCTGTAATTTTCAATTTGTAATATTGAAGTGCACACGATAGTAGTTCGCTAGGCGAGAATGCGATCGAGCTCACTTCGAAAGTTTGAATTGACAGTTACAGAATAGCCTGTTCGAAGGTTGCTCGACGGGTGTTGCAACGAAAGCTGAAGTACCTAACTACTATGTTACCTGCTTTCTTAAGGTCGGTTTTTCGATAACACAAGATAAAATCAAGGTTTATTTGTAGTTAGGTCAAAAGGTTAACTCTGTTGAATGGACCGAAAATTAGTTACTTTTTTTATAATGGCATACATACATGCAATAACTTAACATTTTGTAACATTACAAGCATGTAATGTAGTAAATGTAATGTTATCACCATGTCACCATCAATATCAAAAACAAACTGATAAGATTTTTTCATTTATAGGTGAATTAATAATAAAATAAATAATTACCGCATTTGTTCTTTCCTTCTGCGACACATTAGGCAGCTTGAGCCTGGCAGCAAACCGCAGTGTCTCTCCAGCCGTAAGGGTGTCGATGACCGTCGTATCCTGAGCTACCAGCACTGAGCTACGACCTGCACCGTACAAACACCCTGTTACACCTGTCTTTCTGTAACAAACGCTTTCTATTACTTGGGAATAACACGTAAATCTGCCTTTAGCGACGTTGGTTTGGTCAAATCTTTCGTTTTTATGAGGTAGTGTCACCGCAAATTTTGCAACAGCATAGAAGTTTCTTTTGCAAAACTAATCCAATTGAAATGGGCTTTGGATCTGTATAGTCTTTTATGACTTTATATTTTCATTTTTCATTCATCAGTTTCGAGGGTAAGCAAGGGGGACTAGGTAGGTATGTTTATTTTATTTCCACAATATTAGAAATAAAATCGATGAGGATTTTTTGATGACTTGAAGCCACGGTGAAACGAGTCTTTAGATGCAGAACCAATCTATAAGTATACTTAGGTCATAATAACGGATGAATCTGCAACCTTTGTCTTTACAATCGTTATAAAAATATCTATTCATATCTATGTGAGTTAACGGGAAACTGGCATACATAAACATCTATATATTTATGCAGGTAAGAAAATGATGTCAGCCAACACATTTGCATTTCAAATAAAAATAACAAATTGGTTTCGTTTCTTTTGATAGAAGTACCTATTAGAGGTGACTAGATGAGAATTTTATAAAAAAATTGGCTTGTGGAATCCATTGCAGGCGGTTCAACCTGCCTATTGCTTGTTTTAAGAAACTTTATCTTTATAGATAGACGTGAACATATCTACTCAATGTGTGTTACTCTTGTTGTGTTTTCTACAATAAAGATGGTTATCTACTGTGCTACTGGTACCAGCGCGACAGTCGCCGCTCCGGCTCCGGCCCGACGTGCAAGAGAAGGGACGGGGTGGTTTTTAGTCAGTAAGAGTCAAACACTAGCCGGGAGAAGTCATTCGATGATTTTCCCCCCCTTAAAAAAACCCTATGAATACGACTTCTTAATCGGTTGATTTAGTACAGTATAACTATTCTTACTATAATTTGTAAATATCACTTGCATATAGCGTGTCAAATAAAGTTTATTTCTTTCTTTCTAACTACCATTGAACTTACAATAAATGAAGCTACTAAATAACTTAATTTATTTCTTCAATTAATACATCATACTGATAATGCTGCATGAAAACAAATTTACTTCGTGGATACCTATTTATAACAACATAATATTAAATATAAGGTACCTACCTTTGTGAATTTTGTTGGTCGCAAAAACTACAATTACGTAGGTGCTTAATTATTTACTTCATCATTATAAATTATGTTAAAATCAACGTAAATGATGAGAGTTATTCATGAATTTGATTGTGAATGAAGTATGTACCTACATACTAATTTGTACCTACAAACATATTTGTAAATACAAAACGGAAGGCTACGTTCTTTTGTAAAATTAAATTAATATTTTTTTAATTTATTCATTGCAAAAAATTCATAATTGACGATGGAAACGTGTTTAACATCGTTATTAGTATGCAACTGTGAATTAATAATGTTTTATAATAATTTGAGAATTTGGAAAAACCGAAAGCTATAAATTATATTATACCTGTATATGTATAAATTATTTGTGACTATAGAGGTTCCGTCTATTATTTGAGATTAAATAGTATCTACTACCTAATGAAACAAGCTAAAATAAATAAATCGTATGTAATCTTTAGGATTACTTTATTGATGCACGTATTGAAAACAGTTTGCAAAAAATCTTACTTTCTTCCAGCCAAGATTTTGAGTAGTGTGGTCTTGCCGGCTCCCGAAGGTCCTAGGATGAATGTCATCCGCCCAGGTCTGAGGGCACCAGATGCTCCCCGGAGTATGACATTTGGATCATGGATATTATCTTCTGTTACAGCTGGTTTCTTTCGCCAAATGCTCCCTGTGAATTTAAATTAATAAGAATAGCAATCAACCTGCTTGTAATTGACTGCACGGTTGGCGCGGTGGTTGGGCAACTGACTGCCGCGCAAGGTGTCACGGGTTCGATTCCCGCACGGAACAATTTTTTGTGTGATCCACAGATTTTTGTTTCGGGTCTGGGTGTCATGTGTATGTGAACTTGTATGTTTGTAAATGCACCCACGAGGTCACGACACAGGAAAACATCATAGTATGGGGCAAAGTTTAAAAAAAAATTGCGATCAGAGTAAACCAAAACTAACTTTAAGTAATCTTAGTGAAATCCTGCTTGATTCTTGTGTTAGAAAAAGAAATGGGACGACAAAGTTTAACTACGCTAATAATAATTGACTCGTAACAGATAAACTCTTGTTATGTTCTTTATTAGGGTTAGCATCAACCATCTTAATGAGCTTATAGAGCTTCTAGAGTTTTATAAGTTCCAAAAAATCCGAGTTTGATTAAATTTCGTACACACATACTTATGTGTATCAAAGTGTAGCACAGTTATATTTAAGTGGACGTGTAGTGTAGGTGCCCAAACAGGTATGTACACATTTTTTATATACATTTTGAATTTGACAAACAAGAGATCAATGACTCAATGACCGCCAACTAGGAACATTTGAATTGAACACCACAGTTTACGTCGCATGATTTACATTCAAACATTTACAAAACCTGAACCTTTTAAACTGTCTGATGTTGAACCCTACCTGCCAAACGTGGGGATAACTGCAAAAATTTGAATAATTACTTAATGGAGACGAGGCCCATAGTCCAACAGTGGACGGTCATCATCATCAACATCAAAAGCCTCACACGGAGAAGATTTGAGCACCACGCTTGCTCAATGCAGGTTGGCGATTATTTTATCATTACAAATTATAAGCCCAGGTTTTCTCATATTTTCCTTTACCGTTTGTCAGTGGTGTCTAGATAATCTTAGAAAGTACATATAACTCGGAAAAGTCACATTGGTATTTGCTGTTGATAGGTTTCAAACCCGCACCCTCATGCATGAGAAGTGGGCGTCTTAAACCTCCGGGCCACCACGACACGACAGTCAATGGATGGTCACGGGTTGTATATTTATATATGTATGATTATTAAACATATCTTATATATATAAAACTTTATTATATCAAGCTGAAGAGTTTCTTTATTTGAACGCGCTAATATTTGAAACTGAAGGTCCGATTTGAAAAATCTCTTTGTGTTAGATAGTCAATTTATCAAGGACGGCTATAGGGTATACGTAGTAAACGGCTTGGGGCCACGGGTGCTTAGAGTGGGGACTCTAGGTGCCCTGTGGTCTCAGGGAAAACGGTGGCACAGTGGTCACGTGCCGCCGTCTTCCCTTAAAGGAGGCTCTCATGAGGGATGTGTCGTAACAGGCGTTGTACCGTTGAGGCTCCGGAGCAGATCTCTTTTAGAGAAGTCGGTGCCTCCATACAAATGTTGAGGGTAGCCACCGGGGTTGTAATGAGGTAAAAATTCCACACTCCCCAGAAAGGCTAGGCGCCTTTTGAAGGTTTCCCCCCGTCATAAAAAAAGACTATAAAACGGCACGCTACAACCAATAGGTGCCGAGCTGAGCGGGTTAAACCGCGCAGAAGTAGCTAGTGTAAATTTATAGTTATCTATGGAGATGATTAATTGTATGGTTACCTTGGCAGTATAACAAGGACCTGCTATTTCAAATCACAAGTCCGTCTCTAAGGTTAAATCTTGGTTATGTACTCATAAGTAACAGGTTTGTATCTGGTCCTGATTCATTTTTTATCTTTATTTATTATTATTATTATAAAAAGCTGAAGAGTTAGTTTGTTTGAATGTGCGAATCTCAGAAATCATTGGTCCGATTTGAAAAAATCTTTTAGTATAGTTCATTTAACGAAGAAGGCTGTATGCTATGAAAACCACACTAGAATCAATAGGAGCCGAGCAGAGCGGATGAAACCGCGCAATAGCGGGTAGTTTTTTATATGTATATGTGTAAAAAGTACCAGTATAAGATTTTTTTGCCGGGCAAGGGGTCTCTGGTTCGATTACCGGGTCGGGCAAAGTATAACTGGGTTTTTAAAAAATTCTCAGTTGTAGCACGGAGTCTGGAATTGTGCCCGGTATATGGCAACACGCTCACCTCCTATTACACGGGTCTCATTACGTAAATAGTGAAAAGTGTTACATGATTGTACAGTGGCATAATGTGCACCTCTGTCTACCCCTTAGGGGATAAAAAGGCTTGATGTTATGTGTTTAAGATTTGTATATTTATTTGGAGGACAAATAATATTGCAGTTAATGTGTAACTTGTCTTATATCTTTCGTGAGACATTCTAAATTACTTAATTATGGTTTTCGACTTATTCACATAACTGTCCAACGAGGAATTCGATTAATTTTAAGCTATTCTAGAAGCTCAAATTCATAAGCAGCATTCCAACCGACTTCCTCATCGAACAGTTACTTGAGTAAGACGAGAAAAATAATAATTAATGCATAACTACTCAGTACTCATATATTTATTATAATAAATACATACCTTATTAAGATAATAAAATCGTGTAAATGCTTTAAATGCATTTAAATACCAAAATACAGATATTCTTGACATTTTATTTTTTTCTGTGGCGATATATTATAGCATAGCAATTTTGCATTTATATCTCCATTTTATTCTAAAATAACTACGAAGTTAAATTGCTTCTAAAAACAGACAAGAAAAGAGGTAATCAAGGCCTTATTTTTTCTTTACGATTTATTCATACTTATTCTATATTTTCCATTCACTATGTTGATATGTGTTTAATTATTTATCAGCATGGATTACATACGTATTAAAATTTAGGTTGCTTCGGTAAAATATTTTTAATTTGTTGACAATGATTGATTAAAATAATCATAGCTATGTAGAGGTATAATATCTATATATATATATAAAAGAAAGTCGTGTTAGTTATACTGTTTATAACCCAAGAACGGCTACATCGATTTGAATGAAAGTTGGTGTGGAGGTAGCTTAGAATCAGAAAACGTACGTAACGTACACACGGCACAATTAGGGGAACACAAAAAAGGTCCTTTTTTGGAACTAGTGAATGATTTGTCAAGTAGTTCATTTATTTATGAAATTACCCTCGTACAACACAATATTTTGAGATATAGTACTTTGACATTTTTCGACTACTTTTTATCCAACCCTTTTTTTAGTTTTTACCGAAAATTCGGAACGAGAAAGAAAAAAAGGGGATTGCGCGTACGAAGTCGCGGGCAGAAGCCAGTGTATGAGATGTAGGTATGTCATAATATACATATAATTATGATGTTACGTATAGATAGGTACAACACCTATGTACAACTGTCATACAGGATGTTTCTGTGTAGTTATAATCAAATGTACAATGTGGTTTTGATATTCATATTAACTCGTCGAGTACCGGTTTTGTAGACACAATTATAGAACAATAGGTTGCGGTCACCGGTGACCGCTTGGTGTTTGACAGTTTAAAATATTATATTTCAGTAGTAACTAGGTAAATTACCCAAGAGATTTTTGTAATTGATTTTACTAGTAAAGTTGTGGGAAAGTATATGCAGAGAGAAGATATAGGAGCGTGTTATCTAAAGAAGGAATAAATATTTCACATAATATAGGTAAATATTACTGTGTTAAATACATAATGTGATTAATGTAACAACATTAGCACGAGGATGCCTGCTGATGTACGCAATAACAAATGATTTTCAAATCAAGGTAAGTATATATTCTAATCCTTACCTATCTTAATCCTTTTGGCGTATTTCCAACTTCTAATAAATATCTATTAATATTGATTAGATAGGTACTTATTTTACATATTAGGTACTTGCATGACAACTAATAATATGATTTGTGATGAAAAACTACATTTTTGTTTAATCGTTATTTTTTGTTGTATTCTCTCCATTTCGTTCTAAGATAGAGGAAATGTCACGATTTCTTGAATATCAGACCTTGGCGCTTAGTCTTAAAACCAATCTCAATGACAATTCAATTTCAATTAGTTATTCAACATCAGCACTATACAAACCTGCTGCTAAAATAGCATATATCATAGTAATATCGTACGGAATATAAAGCCAAACTCATAATTTAGGTCATTCAATAGGTATCCACGCAATATGAATGCAATGGGCGCTACTTTTGCGACTCAACAGTAGGTACTAAAAACAATATAAATGTCGAACGATCGGAATTGAAGAGTTATCCCCTAGTTCTCAAAATCATATACCTAATAAACGTATCTATCTAATAAACGTATTGCACGTGACAGCGATATATAGATATCCCTTAAATAAATTAGCGTGTTCCTTTCTCTACCTCTACCTATATGGATGGTCTGAACAATGGGTGCCATATACTATATGGAACCCATCCGATATATGGCATATAAGTAGGATTGTATTGCATAGTATCGTAATTTAAAAACTGTTGGTTTGTGTTTGCTTGTGCCTAGGTAGGCACTGTCTCGGTAGTCGAGTGGCCGTAAATGTATTTTATTTTAGGGATGAGTGTTTTTCGGCCGGTATTCTTTATGGTCTAAATACGGATTTGTATCTATTTAGTGACAATAGACTCGTTGTGTAATGTTTTTAACTGAACTGACTGATGATGATTCCGCTTACCCCTTCGGATATTTATCCGGAGAATCAAATGCACATGCATGATATTTAATGTAATTATGCTGCCTACCTGCGGCAATATTATAAGACAGACAATGAACATGTTGGCAATGAAAAACAAGATATTTTGAGCGAATAAAATCTATAAAGTGCAAGGTTGCTTTTTAAAAGTCTTTAAGTTGTTGTTTTAAGGCTTAAAAATTAATACAATTTTGAAACCAATCTTCAATAATAATTCCGCCTATGTTTTTCGACCTGGTATTATCTAAATTATGTTATGTATTATCTAAACTTGATTGTGAACATTTTTAG